GAGCGCGGAGCGACCCTTGAGCCAACCCTCGAAGCGCTCCTGGCTCTGCACCAGATCGCCTCCAGGATTGAGCAGGTACGACGTGCGACGCTTCGACAGGCTGTACAGCTTGCCGTTGCGCAACGCCACCTGCCACGCCGAGCTCTGCAAATTCGAGTTTCCGTCGTCCACTCGCTCGCTGCTCTTGCTCCCAAGCGTGGCTCCCCTGAGCGTGCGTGTTGCTTTTGATGGCGAGCGACTCTGTGTCCTTGCTCCATGTCGGCCCTTCTGCAGCGGGCTTGCCTCGATGTCCTCGTCCTCGTCTTCAGTGTCATCCTGCGGTGCTGCCGGCTGGCGGCAAAAGACCGGTGCCATTTGAATGCGGTCCTGCAGGAAGGCCATCGACGGGATACGGCTGACCGACTTGCCGCGCAGGATCGGCATCGACTCCCAAGGGAACGGCGCCGTGTCCTTGTCGAGCACCAGGAAGATGTGATGGTCGCTTGCCTCCTCCTCCTCCTCGGCCGCGACGTACGTCATGTTGACCTTGTTCGGCGAGCTCTGAACCTTCTTTCCGTGGAATTCTTCGAGCGCACCTCGCAGATCCATCGCCGTCTCGTCGAGGTCGATCTCGTCCACCGCCACCTGGAAGCCACTGAACTGAAGCGCATCCATGACATAGTGCACCAGGTCCTCGAGATCCTCGTCGGTGCAGTCGGCCGGCAGACCGGCAAAGCATTCGAACACGGCATCGTCCATCTTGAGTTTCGTCGGACGCTTGTTGGTGGTCGGGAAGCAGGCGCGTCGGATGATCTTCTCGAACCTCGCGCGCAACCCGGCAACGGCTCGATCATCCAGCATCGGCTCGGCAAAGACGCCCTTGAAGCCGCCGAGCCACGTGTCTTGAAGTGCCTGAAGCAGGTCACGCAGTTCGTCGTCGAGACGGTGGCGCTCGGTCCACCATTGCCGCCTACCCTCCATTCCCTGGATGTCGCGCACGCCGTGGATGCCGTCGTTGCTCAGCTGCACGATTTCGACGAGCTTGTCCTTGGCCGCCGCGAGCGTCAGATGCTCCTCGTCTTCCTCGGTGCCGTCTCGCTTGCTGCGTCGATTCATCGGCAGGCTATACAGCACGGCCTCTTTGGCAGAGCAGCCGTCGGCGCCTCCGCCGCCCTGCTGTCGGGTCAACACGAGGTTCTCGACGTCGGTGCCGCGGACCGAGATCGAGACCACGGTCCAGTTGCGTGGAAGCAGCAGCTTGGCAGACCCGGCTTCGTGCTGCGCCTCCTGGTGGCGCAGGCGGACAGACTGCCAGAAAGTCGACCAGGGATTGCCTCGGCTTGAGCGCTCGCCTCGACCTGCGCGAGCACGATCGTTCAGCGTGAGCTTCGCCAATCGGCTCGGCAGAGCATCGTGATCGCAGTCACTCACGCCCGCGGCTGAAGAACGCGCGGACCTAGCGACCGCGTGATCGTCCGTGATGACGGGCCAGTCTTGATCCTGAAGAACTGCGTCCGAGTTTCGCAGCTTGGCCGAGATCGACATGAGCAGGTTTCTGCGCACACCCACGCTCGAGGCCCAATCCAGCAGCGCGGCAGCCGCGTTGGCAGCCATCTTGACGTTCTTGCCGAGTGCCGCTTGCGTGGTGTAGACTTGGGCGAGGCTGGCGAACGCCTCTCGCAGCGACAGCGAGTGGGACGACCGCAGTCCCAACGAAAGCGCTTCGCGGAACGCCGAGTCGGCGGGCGTCAGCATGTCGAACGCCGCCTTCACCGTCTCCTCGGAGATGGCGTGGTTCGAGCCCGTAGTCGCGGCCAGCGTGCGAACACTGACCGAGGGGACCATTGGGATCGAGATGGCGGCTTCGGGCAGCATGCTAAAGAAGTGATCGCCCTTGAGATGCTGAAGCGCCCTGCGCAGTGCAATGCGGCCCTCGAGGACGAACTGATCGACGCGCACATCGGTTGATGCCTGGCCGTCCCAAACACTGGCGGCCTTTTCGACTGCCTCCTCGCTTTGCTCCGCTTCGCCCATCAAATGCAGGATCCACGCCTGTCTCTGCAAGAGCCTGGACTGCACGTCCGGCAGAAGCACGTCCATGCCCGCGCCTGTGATTGATTGGCTCAGCCGCATTCGGTTCTGTCCAGCTGAGAGCGACAGGCTCGATTTCCTGCGGTGGTGTGACTGTGCCTTGGGTGACGGCGACGCGTGTTCGGCCTCGACGAACGCAGTGCTGAGCGTGCGCAACGTGGCCTCGCCAGTAGCGTACGAGCGCAACGCCTCGCCGAGCTGCTCGATGCGCATGAGACAGTCGCCCTGAACGTAGGACAGAGGGACGACCTCGGGGATCCAAGTTTCTTGAAGCACCGCCATGCATCGCGACAGGTCTTGTTGGCCTAGCTCGGTGCGATTGAGTTGGAGGCGCAGCTCGCCTCGCTGGACCAGGGCACGAGCGAGCGGCAGGGCAAAGCGCATCGAGGTGGCAAAGTCGATCGCCTCGCCAGCCAGGCTTTCGGCCTCGACCGCCGAGCCCCGGATGCTGTGCGACGTGCTGAGCCTCATGTAGCTTTCGAGCAGCAGACGGCAGCTTCTCCAAAAGAGGCTCGAGAACACGGCGCCGCAAAACTTGGGCAGCTGCTCCTCCTGCGGCTGTGGCTGCTTCTCGGTGCTGTCAGGCGTGTCCATCACCACGTCGCTCGAAGCTTCCGTCGCGTCCTTGCTAATCTGACCCGCCTGCACCACCTGGCCGTCGCCCTGTGCCGAAGTGCGGCTTGCGATGCTGGCAAGATTAGACGAGAGGCGGATGAGCTGTCGAAGTGCCTGAGTGATCGACTCGATGCTCGAAGCCAGATCGCCGCTCTCCACATGCAGACGAGCAGCGACGGCAAAAGCGAGAGCCTGGCGCTCCCTCTGCAGCAAGCGTTCCATTGAGCTAGAGACCGCCTTGTCTCCCTTCTGTTGGCCCTTTGCTAGTGCCAGACCCTCGGTCAGCCGTGCCTGTGCGCCAGCTAGATCTCGTGTCTGGCAGGACAGCTCGGCCTGGGTCATGAGGCAGCGGAAGCGAACATGATCGGTGAGCATCACCGGCTTACTCGATGGATAGCCTGCTGGGGTATGCCCCGAAACCAGCGTCATTGCGGAGCGAAGGACAGCTTCCGCGCGCTGGGTCTTACCGAGGCGCAGGTACGCCTGAGCGAGGTCGACACCTGCGCGACACAGCATCTCGTCCGCATCTGGCGTACACTCGTCCGAATGTCGGATGGCTTGGCGTACGACCTTGAGAATGTGCACGCTGCACTGCGTCAAGGCCAGCGCCGCAAAGGCCTCCGAGATGGTGAGCGCCGACTGGCAGAACTGCCTGGCGTTGTCCAGGATGGACTCTTTCGGCGGCGCCCTGGCCAGCGGAGAGGACCGCGAGACTGCCGCAGACTTTGACTCGAAGACGGGTTTGCCCCTGGACGGCGGCGTGGATGGGCTGGACGGCAGGACAGCCGTCTTTTGCGGAGGCGCGGAACGTTGACCGAGCGCTCTACGGTTGGTTGCGAGCCGAGCCGATGCTGTGCTTGGTCCACGAGCCGAGGCTCGGGTGCTTGGAGTCGCATTTGGTGTTGCATGTGCGGACCTGGGCGAGCTGCTTGATGGTTGTTGGGGAAAAGATTGGGCGGACTGCTTCTTAGGCGTGCCCCGCGTGGAGGAGCTGAGAGATTTGCAAGCCGCCTCGACTTTCTCTGCCACAATCTCCGGGCTCTCGTTAGGTCGACGCAGACGCACCTGCAGAGCCGTAGACAGCAGCAGCGAGCAGCGATACTGCGCCTTGAACCGACTGAGACGTTCGTCCGCGCCAAGAGATGGGCTGTCGAAGCAAATGATCGCGTCTTCTTCCATCTGAGTCAACTCGTCTTCCGTCAGCGCAAGCGCGTGCGACAGAACGTCCATCTCGAGCATACGAACGATAGTCCTGGCGCGTCGGAGCGGGAAATGCGTGGCATCATAGATGCGCAGCAAGCACTGATGGATATTGCCGATCGCCTTGACCGAGCTCGCAAAATGAGAGCGGGCGTCGAGGTGCTGGACCGCTTGCTCGAGGATGGCGCCCTTGACGCTTTTCTCGAGTTGGTCCGCGTGCAGGACCCAATGGGTGAGGCTACGCTTCTCATCGTCCAAAGCGAAGTCGGAGCCGAGTTCATGTACGGACATGTCGGTGATAGCCTTGATCCACCCGGCCAGGCTCTTTGCATCCGCCGACTTGAAGCACGACTCGATGCCGGCGTCGCCGACACGCTTGTCGATCTTGGCCTGGATGTCCGAGGGGATGGAGCGGACCAGCTTTCGATACATCTGCAATGCCTGCTCCTTGTCGCCGCCAAGTCGATATGACACCGCTGCATACTCGAGCTTCTTGTTCAGGGATTCCTGACGCTTTTGCAAGCTTGCCTGCAGCTCTGGCTGTTCCTCGCCGTCGCATGAAGATCGCAGGAGGTCGATCGAGTCGATGTCGCACTCAACAGCGCCCTGCAGAAAGTTGACTGCCTCGACGTAGTTGGCTGCGTTGTACAGCATGCCGCCTGGATTGTAGAAGCTGGTGCAGAGGAGTCGTAGCTGCTCTGACAGCACCGTGGCGGGCAGCGGTCTGGTCAGCTCGGATTGCAGGAGGGCATGGCAGCTCTCGAGCACAGCGAGCGATTCGGCGCGCGCTCGCGACGACGAAATGGAGAAGAGCTTGTTGGCGAGCACTCGGTGTCCATGTACGAGATCCAGAAGGCACGCATCGCGAGTTGGCAGCGACGTTGGTCGCGCAGGCGTCGACTTTACTGACTCGCTGGACGCAATCGCAGAGTCCGAGGCGGACGGCTGGCAGCAAGCAAAGAGCTCGCGCAAGAGCTGCAAACAGGCGCGTGCGAGCGAATCGACATTGACGGGAACAGCCGAGGCGGTGTCTTGCTTGGGCTGGCCCTTGCTGTCGCAGCCTTGGCTTGCGAGCTTGGTGCAGCAGCGACGATGGATCTGGTCCACGACTCGGTGTAGCTTGATCTGAGAGGATGTCGCGGCAGTTGTTGGCCATCCTCCAAGCTCGCGCTGCAAAATTTTGCAGGCGTCGTCGAGCCTGGACTGTGTGTCGGTGTCGGCCTTACCAGCGAGCACGTTGTCGAGGGCCAGCACGCATGCTGTGAGCTTTGCACAGATCTTGGTGAGGTCTTGGTCGCTCCACTGCCTCTCTGGGACGGGCGAGCTGGTTGACGGCGCCTCAGCCCCATCCGTGACCATCCCATTAGAAGCTGCAGGCTTGACGATGTCCGAGCGCGCTGGTGACGGCGCGCCTGCCATCGCAGCAGTTGCCCGTTCGACACCAGCGGTGCTTCCAGCCTTGCGTGCAAAGTTGAGCCAGTGCTCACAGAAGCGCTGGAAGCCGTCGCCGGCCATCTTGTTGTGCTCGGCGCCAGCATGCTCGGCGAGGTTTGCAGCGGTGGCAATGACGGTCTCGAAGGCGTCGTGAACGGCATCGTAGGTCGAAGCCAAGTTCAAGCCGTCCTTGTGGGCAGTCTTGAGGACGGCCCCACCTGTGCGTGCAACGCGCTCCCAGAACGCAGCGAGGTCGATGTCGCTGACCTGGACGAGGAGCTGCAAGGCGAGCGTACGCAGCGGCAGGTATTCCTGGCTGTTGGGTGCCTCGAGTCGCTGGAGTGCTTTGGAGATGGCGCGCTCTACGGCAAAGGCGACGCGGTCGAGCACCTTGGTCTCGCCTCCGGATCGGCGAGCGTACAATTGCCAAGCCAACGGTCCGTGCTCGTGGTTGAGATCGGTGAGGATCGAGTCGAGCGAGTCGAGGTCAGCCGCCTCTAAAGCCTTGAGAACAGAGTGGGACTGCAGGTCGAGCAAGAACGACATACGGGCAGGCGAGGGCTCGGACGCGGGGTCGGCTGTCTGCGTGAAGTGTGGCAGCAACAAGCTTGACGATGCTGCAGCCACGATGGCCTCAGCATCCGGGAAGTGCGCAGATGTGCGGGCGAGGTATAAGCAGTCGGCATGGGCCACCTTGGAGAGTCCGATGGATTTGAGCTTGGTGGTGGTGCGAAGGATGATGGTTTCGATTTCGAGCTCCTTTTGCGCCGCAGCCGTGCCTGTGCCGCAGACGTCGCGAGGGAGAAGGAGGAAGCGGGTGGCGATGCGGAAGGTGTGAGCAGCTGCTAGCACGTGAGGCAATTCCGAGGCCGACTCGGCACTGTTGGCGGACCAGCCCGCGTTTGCGAGCTGCGAGAGCCACGAGAGGCCGGCATTGACGAGCTGCTTGGCAAAGTAGAGGGATCGAGCGGCGGCAAGCTTTTCGGGAGCGGGATCGAAGCTTGGAGAGCTCGTGAGCTCTTGTTCAAGTAAGAGCTCGTGTGCTGATGTGCCCAGGCGTAGGAGCAGGTAGTTCGGCAGTGCCACGGGGACCTCCTTGGGTGATTTGAGGGCTTCGAGAACTTGCGCCTCTGTCCAGGACTGCTGAAGGACGGAATGTTGGACTGTTGGAGCTGGCGGAGCGGCTGTGCGGGTTCGGGCGGTGGCAGCTGTTGTGCTCCTGACCGTCCTGGAAGTCGAAGTTGGCTTGGTGGCGGTGGCGGCGGCGGCAGAGGGCTTCGACACTGACGTCGCACGGGAGGTCGAAGACACTGCGCGTGACGAGGAGGCCGAGGTAGTGACAGAGCTGGATCGCTGCGACGATGAGGCCGGGGTTGTCCTGGTGGAGCGAGTGGACGGTGTTGTGGCTGGAGCTGGAGCTGCTGCTCTGGTGGCCGAAGCGGTGCGCGCCATGACCGTGCCAGATGTGGTGCGCGAGGAGGTGGCGGATGGTGTGGCTGCTGATCTGCTCGAGCTGGATGCAGTGGCAGTGGTCCTCGATGCAGCGCTACGTGTTTTCGGAGCCACCTTGGTTGCAACGTCGACCTTGCCAGCGGGCAGGGCGCTGCTGCTGCTACTGACGGCAGCAGGCATGGCGGCCACCCTTGCTGGCATGATTGCTCTGGGAGCGCCACTGTGCAAAGCCCGAGATGGTCGAGGCTTGGAGCCGTGCTTCTTGGCAGGTGACGGTGTTCGGCACGATGACGGGATGTAGGAAGAGCAAGACAACCATGCAGATGGTGAAGAGGAGAGAGAGAGAAGTCAAGGCCCACGAAGCGCCGGCTGAGCGAAGCCTGCAATGATTTCCTCCGCCTCCTCCTCCACAGCTCGGCCTCCGCCTTTTTGAGCTGCTCGACGCGGACCGTGTACAAGTCGCTCACGTGATCTGAGCCAACTAACATTCAAATGAATTTTCCAAAATTTCCAGCCCAAAACCAGCAGCAGCAGCAGCAGCAGAAGCACGCGTGTCGGATTTGGACGTTCAGGGTGCAGCCGCAGCGCACAGCTCTCTCGTCTGGCCGCTCCCCACGTCGCACGGACTCGCACTCGGACTGCACTGCCGGACTCGCCGAGGCCTCGCCCTCACACTTGACGGCTGCCTTCACTTGCTCACCTCTTCATCTCTTGCAACATCACAAACGGCGCCCCATTCGCCGTGCTTCCGGCTACGTTGCATCCGGAGCGCGCAGCCAGCGGCGCCGTGGCCAAACTTGCCCCCACCCGACCCAGTCTGAAACGCAGACGGCTTGAACACATTCAAGCGGCGTCCCTCTGCCGAGTCTTCCACCTTTGCACGCTCGCACCCGACTGTGCGCTGCTGTGCGCTGCTGTGCGCTGCTG